TAATGATTATAAGGCTATTAAACCTATCATGAATTTGACATGTGTGTCTTGGTTGTTTATGGATTGAGATCGATTGGTACAGCAAATTCTGGCTGGTGTTTGCCACGATCCCGCTTGGCTCTCGTAGGCTCGCTGCCTCCGTTCAACGGTCTTTCTTATTTCCGCATCTGCACCGGCCACCTCAGCTACTGGCTGGGATCTACACCCTCAGTGAATGTGGAGGTTATCCTTGTGATCAGTGCCGCCACCCCCCCCCCCACTGCGTCGCTATCTTCGGTGTGTCCCTTAGTATTAAAACAGACTGTGGTCGCCGCTTAAAACTCTCCAACCCTTTCCTACCGTCTCGAATTGCAATTTACGCTGCACTATATCCTTTCACCGGGCTGCTAACGGGTTGGGCAGGCGAGTTTACAGACAACCAAAGGCCTTTCTATGTGCCGTGGGATGCGAAGAACAGGAGCGACCGTCTCCCATTGATCCTATTGGACAACTCCTGTTACCTTAAATTTGACCCAGTGCTCCGCAGTCGAATTGGTATGTGACACCGCGGTCAAAATGTCTGACAGAATGCCCTCAGTCAGTCGCTGTGGTGTCCGCGGTGATTTAACTGAACTCCCGCACTATGTCCGCAAGTTATGTATACAGTGCGTGACCTATCTCATGAAAGGTTGGCTGAAATTCTGAAATGCGTTTTTGATTAGGAAGGATTACTTGGTCGCCGCTGTGATACTGATTATGCTAAGGCATACGCTTATAACATTTTGTTCTCGGCAGGATGTCGGCTCTTAAATGCACTTCTTTTCAATCTCCTGTAGAAAGCGTGCTCGGTAAAAAATGACTACTAAGTAGCATGCATTTTTCCCATTGATTTTCGATGGTCTTGCAAATTCAAATATATTTTATAGAAACCACAAACAAAAATATGCTTTCTTTTAGTCAATCAATAGAGAATCACGTCTTCTTTATATTTTATACTTAAGGAAGGAGTATAATTAGGTTTTAAAAAAGTTACTAATTATGAGACTTTTTAAGACCGCGATATGTCCATTCACATAACATCGTACCTAACCGTTTACCACTGCTCCTCATGAAAGGTACAACATTGTCCGCATCCATTGCAAAATTTTATTGACCCTGTATGATATCTCTTTAATGACATAGAAAAATATGGGGTTTTCTTTACGCGGAACGCATGCACCCTGTAGAGTGTAATCACTAAGCGCTATTCCAACAAATGATCAGGCTCCAAATTTTTCGGCAATTAGAAAACTTTTTTAAACCTAATTTTACTCCTTTCTTAAGTATCACATATAAAGAAGACGTGATTCTCTATTGATTGATTAAAAGAAAGCATATTTTTGTTTGTGGTTTCTATAAAATATATTTGAATTTCCAAGACCAGCGAAAATCAATGGGAAAAATGCATGCTACTTAAGTAGTCATTTTTTACCAAGCACGCTTTCTACAGGAAATTGAAAAGTAGTGCGTTTAAAAGCCGACATCCTGCCAAGAACAAAATGTTATAAGAGTATGCCTTAAGCTAATCATTATCACAACCGCGACCAAGTAATCTTTCCTAATCGAAAACGCATTTCAGAATTTCATCCAACATTTCATGAGATAGTTCACGCACTGTACCATCTTTTCCTTCACACAACATTCAACTTTTTGTGAGTGATGTCTCGAAAAAGACTAAGCAACATGCATTCTCGTTTTTATCTTATCTGACCGCGTTTGCCGGCTATTAGAACCAATCCATAAAGATATTCTTCAGCTTCTCTTCTGCCAGACGAGAAGGCGTAGAAACTATCAGAAACAAACTCAAAGATTATGAGAATATTCTGTCTAAAAATTGTCGTCCCTGATGTTGTGAATGTCCCCTTGGTCCACTGTCCAGTTGATACCTCAAGTCTCCTTTATAGGTCATCCTTTAACAATTTTTTTTCGAATGAATTCATCCTCAGCGGCATCGAGGGTACTTTATGGGTTTTCCGAATAAGTGTTTGTCCTTAGCTGCCGGGTCACTCTTTTCTGATTGACCTTATTTTAGTCCCTCTACAGGAATTTTAACGACGCTTGGATTTTACTGCATAAATAGGCCCTGGATCATTCAATGGTCCGTATGCTTCGGCGCTCGGACCTGTTTTGTTGACTTTAGCAAAACTGGGACCGTTACCTCACAGTATTTAGTTTATCAAACAGACAAGCAATTAACCTGCAAGCGCAAATCTAGATCACAACGGTGCCACTGCTTAGCCGAGTTATAAGGTCCGAAGAGGTGCATAACCCGTGCATTTTGCGCATGTCACCAGAGCGTATACCCTCTGGGAGTCGATTCTGCGCTTTCGAGTGGTTCTTCTTAGCCTTTTTGGCGTTCTTCGTG